TTTTCTTTCCTTATGGCAGAGTACTACTCCATTGTGTGTAAATGCTACATTTTCTTTATCCGTTCATCTCCTGATGAGATATAGGCCATTTTTCAATTCTTAAAATTCAATTTCTTCATCCAAAAAATAATAACAATAAAAGTACCTGTTGCATAGGGCTGAAGGATCATTTTAAGTAAAATAATGCCTGTCAAATCATCAGCATAGTGTACACATCTTAGTAAGTACCCTGTAAATATTATTAAGTCATAGGAAAATGATAACTCTTGTTAAATGTCTGAATGTTTCGTATGACCTTCTCACTTGTGAAAGTGTCAGTCAAGCCCTGCGAACTGCCTGTATGTTATCACCTCCAGCAGCAAATTCCACGATTTAACATATCAACGGTGAAGGGATTCAACTCGGCTCTCTTTCTCACTGGACGCTGCTGCTAAAAAATGAGTTTCTTCTACAAAGTAGCCAGAAGAGACTCTTTAGGCGTATACAAAATGCTATCCAAGAATATACTGTATTTTTGTTGGAACGCAGATGTACTGAAACATGCTCTGAATAATAGCAACAGCTCCTCCACGGCTCCGCTACAGCCAGTTAAGTCTTTCTAGAAACCCCAAGTGCCTGTGCTCCAAGCGCAGCCTTTGCCTTCTGGATTGCGGTTACAACACTGCTCTTCCTTCTGTGTTCATCCCGCGGTCAAATCCCCAAGTGAAGCTTTCGGTCCCCTCCTTCGGTGAGTCCTAGTTCATGCTCATGCTGTGTGGGTCAGTTTGACCATGCAGACAGGATGTTTTATATATTCTGTCTTTTAAGAGTAGCAGTTTGTAAGTAAAGGGCAGTCATTCTTCAACCTACTTAAAGAGGGATTCTGAAGTACAAGGTGAAGTAGGAAACCAGTAGTGGAAGTAGATATGATATGAAAACTCTCCCAGAAAGTATGACAGGCCTGCCAGACAGTCCATCTACTCAGAAATATTTTCCAGTCTCAGAATGGATAGTGAGGGAATCGATTACTCCCTGTACTTTATTGAGCAGTTAATAGGTTCTAGGAATTCTAACAGATTCTTGCACGGATGTTGTACAGCATTTGCGCCTCATAACAATCTTCAGGTGTTATTCCGAGCAAACGAGTAAGTGCGAAAGCTGGAATTTAAACACATCATTTAATTCCAACATAGTCTGCTTCTCACTGTCTTTCTGAGAAGTATCTTCCCCAAATTTGTGTGTGAGAGTGTGTATATACATATATACATATATACAGTCTTCTAAAATCTGGTTACATAACCAAAAAACAGCCATTGACTCAGCCAAAGCCCGCTCAGACCCTCCCTCTCCTCTTCAGAGGTTTAGGAGACTGCAGTTCCTTGCAATCTACCTTTCTCTCCCTGTGATTAATTGTTGTCCACAAATCCAAATGGAGAGAAACTGCCAGGGTGGGAGGGCTGCAGACAAAGGTGCTGAACACTGAACCAGAACAAGGGAAACCTGGCCGATCATGTCCTCCCTCTGACTTCACTGAGAAGACTGCATCTCAGTCGTCTTGGAGTTCAATCACCAATGTAAAATTGACACACTTTTGAAACTTTGCCCAGGTCAGTGCTTTCCTTAGGAGATACCGTCAGTTCTGAGTGGGCATCCGGGACCTTCGACAGCCACTCGCCGGCTTGTGCAGGGGCTGCATGAAGGGGTGGCAGGAGGAGCCTGCCCTTGTTTGCCTCACGGCAAGCAGCCTCAAGAGACGCGAAGCTACCTGCCCAAACACCGTTCTGTTTAAAAAAGAACCTCCTGGGAGTTTTTCTCTGGGCTCTTCTATCTTAGAAGAAATTCCCTGCTACTTCAGTCATTTTCTTTGAAATAACAAGGACGAGCTGTTTCAAATTAAGATTTTAGACTCAGGAGCCCTGGGGAATCATATTCTCCCCTGGGAAATAGCCAACCTATCACCTAAACCAACACACCTAAAGCTTTTCCAGTTAAGCACTGAAATAAGAACCAGAGGTAGTTTATCTTCCTAATGGCCTAATGATTAGCCATAAGGGTGAAATTTTTTTGAAGGCTTATGTTTTACCCTGCTCCAGGTTCAAGAAAGTCCTTCTAATCTATACTAGCTCCATGTTCATTTCAATGTTACGTTATGACCCCAAAGTTTCCTTCTAAGGTGTGGGGGATTGAACGCAGGGCCTTCACACTGGTTTACATCCCCAGCCCATTTTTATTATTTTATTTTGAGGCAAGGTCTCGCTACATCACTAAGTTGCCCAGGCTGAGCTCACACTCGCAGTCCTCCTACCTCAGCCTGTTGGAGTGCTGGGATTACAGGCGTGCACCCCCGTGCCCAGCCCAAACTTTTCAAATTAAAATTGATCCTTACACAAGTAGTACTATGTTGATCCCGGAACTTCACTCTCTCCCAGGATATGGCTCCGTGCCCCCTAAGTCCTAGGATACACGCAGTGCAGTGTAGGACCCGAATAGCCACTGTCACCCGCGATTCATATGAAGAACGAAGACAGCAAAGCAGGCGGCTGTCTGGATGCAGACTACCTGACGTTTGCTTCTACACTTTGCCCACACATGGACGAGTTCTGTCTCTGCCCACTCTGCGCCATCCTTTGAAGGTTGGTTTCTCCCTTGCAATAACAAGAGCACTGCTGAAGTGCAAACAGCTTCGAGAGGGAGGACGCTGCAGCATTTGCCTTTCTTAAGCGCACTCTGAGTTTCACCACGTCCGGCACATCCGCAGTTGCTTTCTCCTCCGACCCAGGCCTTGAGACGGAGTGAAGGCTGCTCACTCCAGTGAGAAACAGTCACTTGGAGATTTGATAGACTTACGGCCAATAAACAGAGCAGGCTTCCTGAGCCTAAAGAGGCTGAAAAGATCACGAACTGAAGGCACCTCCGAGACTTTCAATCTCCAGCTCCTAATGAATTGAGTGATTCCGTGTACACTGACTTGATTCAGTCCCAAGACACTGTCCTGGTGTGGAGACTCAGCTCTTAACCCCAGGCAGCGGGGACTGAAAACACTCCACGTGCACACGCCTGGGACGCCGCGCAGGACTCCGGGCACCGGGCACAGAGGGTTCCACCTTCTCCGTTTCCTTTCTCTCTCTCATGTAGATAAATTAAAACCACTGTCCCTCCATCTCTACCCAAAGTCTCCCAGCAGTTAGACAAATATTTTCCCACTCCTCCTTAGAGAAAGATGAAAGGAGGGCTTTTTGTTATTGTGACTGTCACATTCGCAAGAAAAGCATCTATGAAATAGGTCACAACCAGGCTGTGATTGTGTCTCTCAGGTCTGAAACACCGTAACCTAGTACTGTTGGCCTCTGACCGCAGGTGTTCTTCCTCCAGTACACAACCTGGAGTTCACCCTAGGGCTGAGCTGTACGTCATCAATCATGCAACAAAGCTATTTGGGAGGGAAATACAGTCTAGATCAAGGCGCGCAGTATAGACTGAGGTTGAATGCAAACACGCTGCAGACTGTGGTCAGCCCTGACTCTCTCATTTTCTAGCTGTGTGACTTTGGAGAAGTTCTTAATCTTCTTAAGCTATGTGTCTTCATTGGTTGAATGGAGTTGATGATAGAACATGCGTGTTAAAGCAGTTTGTGGATAAAGCAAGCTGATGCATAATAAAGCACTTTTCATCGCTTCTCACCCTTGGCATAACAGAAATGATAATTTGTCCTGAGAGGGAGTCCCTGCCCTCAGAGCCTCAACCCCTATCCTTGGGGACCTAAAATATAACCAGGGACAGCACTCACAGACACAGTAAAAGAGTGCATTAACCTAAAATCATAACACGATGAGCAGCATAGAATTTCAGAGAAAGGAAAGATTTAATCTAGAGTGTTTCAGGAAGATGTCACAAAAGGAGAACATATCCTAGAACTTAAAAACTGAGTAGGATTTAGTTAAGCAAAAGACAGGAGGCAGTCTTAATGGTTGGAAAAGCAGACATCTACAAGCAGGGCGGAGGACCTGGGCTGGGCGGATGAGTAGACCATGTGGTGCATAACATGGCCAGTCGCATGCCGTCGAGGAATTAGACTTGAAAAGCAGATCTGAGAAAGACCAGGATAACTGACAGTTTTGTGCAGGTTGAAATTGAATCATTAGAAAGTCAGTGGCATTTTCTAAGCAGATAAGTAACATGGCAATAAAGAACAGGGCGGATTGTAGAGGGAGCGGAAGGGAAACGGGAAACTAGGTGGCACACTATCACAGAAATCCACTTGTACAGTGACAGTACGCAGAAGTGGGTGAGTCCCCGGGAAAGGACCGGAACAATAGACACAGGGCACTTTTCAAGGATGAACTATCCATGCTTAGGGTCAAACTGGATACAGGAGGAAGAAGTAGAACATATCAGTGAAGTCCCTAGGTTTTGAGACATATAACAGAGTTTATGATATGGTATGATAATATGCTACACCACAACCACAACTCTCTTTATCGTGGCTGCCTACAAAGTTGTAAGTTCCTTCATATGAGTTTCACATGATGAATTGGCACCCTATCTTCTCCATTTTATGATATCAAACTTTAAGCTGATTATTCATTAATTTCTTCAGCAAATATTTCTTTAAAACTCTTCTGTTTTAAGCCCTGCTGGAAGTTGGGAGTTAAATCAAGAATCACTGAAGTACCCACCACTGAGGATTTTTAAATCTTTGGTACTTGGGGGTAGGATAGGAAAGATGAGTGCCTGGGAAATATAAATTATATGACCTCTAAAATGAAATCATAGGGGCCTGGGATTTAGCTCAGTGGCACAATGCCTGCCTGGCAAGTGTAAGTTCCTGAGTTTGATTCCTGGTGCAAAAGAAAAGGAAAAGAAAAAATGTTACATCTAAAATGAAATTATATATGTCATTGCTGAGGAACTTCAGGAACTGCTCTAACACTGAATAGAAGAATTGGGAAAACATCCTGTTAAATAAAAGTTGCCTTGAGAGTCGTGTCATTTTTCCTCTTAGTAGGTCCCATGCACAACACATGGAAGAGATGAATAAAACTGCAAAGATACAATTCTTCTTTCGTCCATTCTCATCTGACCCTGAGGTCCAGTTGGCGATTTTTGTGGCCTTCTTGGTGATGTACCTGACCACCCTCAGTGGAAACGCCGCAGTTGCTGTTATTGTTCAAATCAACCCTTCCCTCCACGTTCCCATGTACTTTTTTCTAGCCAACTTGGCAGTTCTAGAAATCTTCTATACATCTTGCATTGCGCCCCTGGCCTTGGCAAACCTTCTCTCAATGGGAAAAACTCCTGTTTCCCTCACAGGTTGTGGAACCCAAATGTTTTTCTTCATCTTCTTGGGAGGAGCTGACTGTGTGCTGCTGGCAGTCATGGCTTATGACCGGCTAGTGGCCATCTGCCAGCCGCTGAGATACGCCCTCATCATGCGCTGGCGCGTGTGTGTGGAGCTGGTGGCGGGGAGCCTGGTGCTCGGGTTCCTGCTGTCGCTGCCACTGACCATTTTAATCTTCCACCTCCCCTTCTGCCACAACAACGAGATCTACCACTTCTACTGTGACATGCCTGCTGTCATGCGCCTGGCCTGCGCAGACACGCACGTGCATAAGCTGGCCCTGTACGTCACCAGCTTCGTCCTCCTGAGCATCCCTCTCACGCTGATCTCCATCTCCTATGTCTTCATCGTGGTGGCCATTGTCCAGATCCGCTCGGCCTCAGGGCGCCGCAGAGCCTTCTCCACCTGCTCCTCCCACATCTCAGTGGTCCTCCTGCAGTACGGCTGCACCAGCTTTATCTACTTGTCCCCCAGTTCCAGCTACTCCCCTGAGGTGGGCCGGGTGGTGTCTGTGGTCTACACTTTTATCACCCCCATTTTAAACCCCTTCATCTACAGTGTGAGGAACAAGGAACTGAGAGATGCCCTAAAGAAGGCACTGAGAACGTCCTAGGGGGCGTGATCCAGGGGTTTACTTAAATGGAGGCACTTCTGAGGGTGAAATGCAATGCTATTCGTAATCATGCTAGGGTCTAGTGTGTGCGAGGTCCTGAGTTTGATTCCCAGCACTTCCAAAAATTAAGTAAAAAAAAAATGAAAGTAATTGTGCTGTGGTGACATGCATAAGACAGGAGTGTCATGGGCAAACTGAGATATGTGACCTGTTATTGTGGGACTGCCAGAAAAAAACTGGTGGTATTGTTTTCCTGCAAATAAAGCTATTTCTCACTGATGGAGACCACTTACGAAGCAGCCCTGAGCAGCACTTCAATTAATCAGTTGGCTTTTCATGTTCATTTGTGAATCTGTCCAAGGCCTAGGCTCCTTGTCTGGAAATGACAGACTCATAGTAAGTGAACCTCTGTGAGTCACTAAAACCTATAGTGGTTATGAAGCTGGAAAGCCTCAAAGGATAAGACAAGATCATAGCTGAGGACACCTGGATCCAGTGTCAACTAGATAAAGGCTGTAGCTTCAGGCATCTCACTCCTGGTGAAGTAACTTAATACCTTACTTGAAAAAGTCCTTGAGTGATTCCACCCTTCTTGAGTACTCCCCTCCCTTCTTCTGATAACCAAATAAATACAGACCACACAAAGAAGGTCTTGGTCTTAGCCCTAAGAGAATCTCGAATTCTGTGAGAGGGCTTTGATCTTCCTGGAGCCTTGAAATCATTCCATTTGCCTCTTTTTAGCCTTCACCATACACTCATATGGGAGACTGCGGACCTGATCATCCCACAGTAAATAAGGGATATTGTAAACCCAATATCACATAAAGCAACATGATGTTCTAGACATGAATGAAAAGCAGAGAATCAAGATTTATGGGACAGCAGCTACACACTAGGTATTTTGTGGATTATCTCACTTAACCCATAGCAACGCCTAGTGTCACCATCTTCACTTTTCAGAAAAGGAAAATAAAGCAGCTAACAAAGGATATATCCAGGAGGAGAACACAGTCCTTAGAAATCTGAAGACTGAGGTATCCTCCCACCATTGTGCTCAGCTGTGAATTGTTCTGCTGTGAGCATTACGCCTCAAGTGGGTCTCCACCTCTCCACTGTCGCCTTCCCTTTCTTCCCAAGAGGCAGGGCTGAGCCAGAAGAATCTAAGTGTTCCTTTCAGTGTCATAATGCTATGTTCTAAAATACTGACCAACCCAAACTAAGTGGCAAAGAAATGAAAAGACTACAGCTTGCAATGTGAAAGGGAACTTCCTGTGGCATTTCTGGTTTTGTTAACCAAAATGAGAACTCATGGCAGTGTTCATAATTTTTGAAATAAAAAGGATGATGATAAAGGAAAATGTTATTTGATTTTATAAGTAAAATCAGAAGGGGAGATGAAGTGGACATCACTGAATCTTACATTCAAGAATCTCTTCTTTAGTGTCTTGGATAAGCACCTAAGGGGAGATTCTTTCAAGGAAAGAAATTATTAACTCATAAGATGTTCCATTCCTTACTAGACAATTCAAGTTGTTAATGTACTGCATTTTATCTTGAGTAGAAGTCTATCTACAAACAACTTTTTCCTTTGGTCCCAATTTTACCCTTGAGGGCTCTTGCCTGCAGGACATGTCTTTTAAAATACCAGGATAGATTTTATATCTTCTATACATCTCCTCTCCTCTTTCTCCTAAAGCAACCCCATCTCTTCCTCTGGGAGATTCTGTTTCAGGTCTTTTACCAAACTAGTCACCTCCTAGATTTCCTCCAGTTTCATAACTTTCTACAAATTTTCCCCCAGAAATAACCATAGTACACTGAGAAGATTTTGTCCTGAGGAACTGTTGCTTTTCATGACCTACAAACTGAATTTCTATGAATTCATTTTGGTTACTTTGCACTCATAAATTTGGTATCAAATGAAGTTCCACAGAGTTTTTGCATTACTTTCAGATCTATCTGGCCATAATTTATTTTTTAGTAGCATAAACTTAGACTTTTATTTACCCTGGATAAATTCTGTTTTATTGGTTTAGACTTAATAATGTAAACTGCCAAAGTCATTCTCAGGCTCTGTTTTATTCAGCATAGTTTTGTGTTGTGATCAAAGTTGCTATCATATTTCATTTTCTTTACCAAATCATAGACAAAAGTGTAGAGTGGGACAGAATGAAGACAGAATGTCTTGTAGGCCTCCTCTTGAGGAACTGTTCTAGATATCTGTTCACTTAATGCCATGGTGGATTCCCATAATTACAGCCCTTGCTGGATCCTACCTCCGTATACCTATGCCTTCACCTAGCCCCTCCCACCTCTCTAGGCATAGCTGTGTGACTTGCTTCAGCCAATGGGACACTAGCAAGGCATAGACACACAAGACCACTTTAGGGACTGTCCTCTCTCACAGCTCTGACACCTCCACATAGGTGAAGCTACGACGACATCCCATCGAGCAGAAGCCACACTGGTAACTCTGGTAAGACCAGCATAGCCAGGACCAACTGTTAACCCACAGAATCAGAGACAAATAAATGATTGATACTAGGGCTGGAGGGGCTGGAGGGGCTGGAGGGGCTGGAGGGGCTGGGGATTTAGCTCAGTGGCAAAAGCGCCTGCCTGGCAAGCGCAAGGTCATGAGTTCGGTTCCCGGTACCGGAGAAAAACCAAAAAAAAAAAAAAAAAAGATACTGGGGCTGGGGATATAACTCAGTGGCATAAGCGCCTGCCTGGCAAGCGCAAGGTCGTGAGTTCAATCCCCCATACCGCAAAATAAATAAATAAATAATCAATACTTTAAACCCCTGTTTAGAATGGTTTATTTTGCAGCAAAAAAATACATAAATAACAGATTCTCCTTCTAATCCTTAATTAACCATCTCTTCCATAAGGATACCATCCAAACACGTGTTCATATAACTAAAATACACTACATCACTTTACAAATCTAACCATTTAGAGCCTTAATTTTAAAATGACAAGATTTAGCATGAGTCACTTCATATGGAGTCTTAGTAATCACCAGTCTTTTCAAAATGCTTACAAATTATCTACTTAATCAAATTATCCATGGAAATCCTCCAGAATTTTGCTAAGGGTGGGAACTGAGATGGCTATCTTCCTGTCTTGAAGCCCAGTAGAAGTTTTATGTATAGTTGTGTCTGCGGCTTCCCCTGGCAAGGAAAAGAAACCCTTTAGTGTTGTGAATGCATAGGGAATGAAGAATGTGTTGTTCACTCTGATGTCCATAACAGTGTTAGCACTTAATGGACCCCGGTGACTTCTCGTGGAGAAATACGGCACATTGTAGGAAACGTGTGTCTTATTCCTCGTAAAAATTGTATGTTCCTGCCAGGGATGCTGTTGGATGCCTGGAATCCCACAGTCTGGGAGACTGAGGCAGGATGATGGAAAGTTAAAACCCAGCCTGCCAACTCTATCGCTTAGTGAGACTTGTCTCAAAATAAAGAATTTAAGGGGCTGGGGATATGGCTTAGTGTGAAGTCCCTGTGTTCAATTGTTTAACATATATATATTTCACTCAGAAAATGTTGACAGTTTGTAACTTATTCTTGCTTTGAAGCTAGAATCAACTTCTCTGATATTTGTGCGCTGGCATCCTCTATGTAGACATATACAGCACCCTCATTTCCAACTTACTGAGTTCTTCTTGTTAGAATTAACTTAATAGAAACTCAGCTTTATTCTTGAGTCTCACTATTATGCCTGAAGACCGCACGCTGTCAGTTCAGAGTTACTATATCATGCCGCATATATACCCCTAAAGGTCCCCACTTCGTGTAATAAGGCCCTAGGTAATGAATCTTCGGGGTGGATAATTATCATGTTTCATGTTTGGTCTCTTGACAAGTCTCTTGTTGCAATATCAACATTCAAAACTGGAGCTTCCATCTCTGGTTAGCGTTCAAGTTTTGAAGCTAATTATTTCCTTTGTGTCCTCTCTAAAACCCCCATAGCGCTTGACAATTCCCTTCGCCAGCTCCACTGATGAGGGGGAGCAGAAGCAGGCACTGCTTCTCCTTTACGACACCCCTTGCACAGCAAGGGCGTGACAGTCCACATGTGCACACATACGTAGCTCGTCCCAGAATTCTCATTTTAATATTTTCAACAGAACCTCTATGAAACTAAAATTACAAAATGCACTTGATCCGGATTCAGAAACGGAGCATCAACATGGTGAGAGGATTTACCCAGCTAGTAAGGGCAGGAAGCAGAATTTCAGTCTACTCCTAAATGCTCTGATGAAGCCCAGCCCACGCTGAAGGCAGCCCACGTGCTCCAAAGTGTCTGTTTGTGTCTATTACACTGTTCTCATTACAAGACTCACGATCTACTCTGCCATCTGTTTTATGAAAACTCGGATCCCACGTTGTAATTGTGCATTTCCTCACACAGGCAGCATGAATCTCAACGCGGGGAGACAGTGAGCCAGTCAATCAAGTGACGTAAGCAAACGCGGCACTGAGTTTTCTGTCACACGCGTTCCAGCGTCCTGGGTCAGTCATCTCGATTGTCATAGCTGGAGAGTCCTGAAGACCATGTTCATTTTGGAAAGAAGGGAGGATGGGAGGAAAGAAGAGAGGGAGGGAGGGAGGCAGGAAAGAAGGGGGAAACAGAGGGAGACAGAGACATAGAGGAAGAAGAAGAGGAAGGGAGGAAGAGAAGGAAAGCGAGCAGGTGGGGCCCCGAAACAAGGTAGCTGGAGCCAACACCAGACTGGAAGCCCAGTCGTCACTCAGCCCAGGGCTCTCCCCAAATGGCCACGTGAGACTAGAGTCGGAGACAATTTCCCACCGCCTGCGTCTAGGACTCGCCATCAAGGTTACCAGCATTCAAGTTCTAGATAAGAATTTGGTCTGAGAATATTTCACACTTCTGTAGTAAGTTTTTATTTACAAACGATTTCATAGGCACTTCATTCTCGAAATCAAAGCAATGCTAGCTTGGGGTTCTATTATCCACATCTGGCAACAGAGAAGTACGCCTAGCTTCTGCAAGTTGGAACAACTGCCCTGA